AATGACTAGTAGGTTAAATTCACATATGAAAGCCAGAGCACTTCTACTATGCTATATAGTATTGGTGCTTTAATGTACAACTTAAAGTTGTACCAGAACATTAAATGTATAAGTTTAGGCTGTACCATAAAGCAATTTGTATCATTATGTTATGGTACAACTTTACAACTTGAAGTTGTACCATCACATAAAGGTACAAGTTCAAGTTGTACAAAAAGTATACGTACAATCTAAAGTTGTACCATAACGTAAATGTACAATTTTAAGTTGTACCATAAAGGCAAAATCCTATAGCACCAATACTATATAGCATTGTAAAATTTCTCATGAAAGCCATTGAAGAATTTGTTTTGTCAAAGTTGGTGACCCATTTTGGTAGGCATAAGCTCAATTACCTTTCTCATAATAATTCAGATGATAATGTAATTGACTAAAGATAAGAAGAGAGACAAGAGATTCTTCTTTTTAATAGAACGATAGGAGAGATTCATTCGCTACAGATAGAGAAAATTATCTCAATTATATCTTCTTCTCTGTATTCAACTATTTAACAACTATACAACAAAAGCTAAAATGAAATTCACATATGACAGCCGCTGGAGAAAGGGCTTTGGCCCATTTTTTATATATTTGTTTTGTCGAAGTTTTTTTTTTGCATTTCAGGAGGCCAAAAGCCAAGAAGAGAAGGTTACATGGGGGGAGGAGTAGGGATAGAAGAGCTTTCCCGGTGGTCAACAATCCGCCGCTCAAAGGACACTCCCTGCATATCATCCTGAAGAATAGAAATAACGCCTGATGGCGGGTGCGCAAGTTCATGCATACCGTAGGGATAGACATGAACAATACGCACCAATCAATCACGACTAATACTCCTTTGAGAGCCAGTCCGCGACTCTATTCCCTTCGCGATAAACATGAACAATACGCACCAACCAATCACGACTAATACTCCTACGAATGGAAGCTAACAACGTGGCATACGGGTGAACTGGATCTCGTCTGTCATTAATCAACTGGATGGCTACCTGCGAATCAGACTCCACCATAATTTGTCTATATCCGGCCTTCCAAGCTAGATCCAAGCCATGATAGAATGCCCATAGCTCCGCCAAGGCTGCAGAAGCTTGCTCAATCTTGGCCATGAACCCATTAAGCCACAAGCCAACCTCATCTCGTATAACTCCACCAGCGCCGGCCAGCCCCAGATTTCCATTGGAGGCGCCATCAATATTCATCTTCACCCATCCTCCTAATGGCGGAGTCCAAGCAATGTTTGCCACCACCCTGGCTGTCGGGGCCTTCCTCAGGTTTCGCCACCTGGAAGGAGCACTCCAGGCTTCACTCCAGAGTCTAGCTTTGGCAATAATGGAATGAGCCAAGGAAGGTGGACTGAGAGTGTGAGAGGCCCCTTTAAAGCACCTGTCATTCCTGCTTTTCCAGATCAGCCATACCGCAATGCTAAACAAGGTAGCCCATTCAATACCCACATCTCCACTGTCTGTATCTTCCAGATTCATTCGGAACCAGTCGGCTGTAGTAGCTGAAAAGAATCTGTGTTGCCTGTTGTTGGGGACGTACCTGGTCCAGAAAAAAGCAGCCGGAGGGCAGTCTCTCAGAAGGTGAATGACTGACTCCGCCTGCCCACTGCAATGGATACAGTTGGGAGACAGGGCTATTTTCCTGGAAAATCTGAGGGCATTAGTCGCAATCCTCCCAAGACAAGAAAGCCACATAAAACACCGAACTCCTTCGGGAACCGGAAGGCTCCAAATGATCTTCCAAAACTTGGCATCGCTGTCCGTATCCGGCGGCAGCAGGGCTTGATACGCTGTCTTCGTCGAAAATCGACCATCCGAGGATCTCGTCCAAAAAAGTGTGTCCGCCTCGGGGGAAAGCTTGTCCACCGCCACTCCCATAATTTTATGCTGAATCTCCTGGGGAAGGAGGTCCTCGAACAAATCCGTCCGCCACACCGCATCATCTGTCGTCAGATCTGCCACCACCTCGTCCGCCCGGTAGCTAGGGATCTCCTCCAGGGCATAATTATTGAGGGGTTCCTGCAAAATCCACGAATCATGCCAGAATTTAGTAGTACTTCCATTCTTAATATTCCAGGCGCAGCCTCCTTTTAAGAGAGGGGCGGCTCTAGTAAGGCTTTGCCAGGTAAAGGAACTTCCCTGAACAGGCTGAAAAAGATCCAGATTCTCCTTGTTCCGCCCGTACTTAGCTTTAATAACTTGAGTCCAAAGCATCTCTTTCTCTTTAAGAAGTCTCCACGCGCTCTTGGCTAACATGGCAAGATTCGCATTTCTCACAGATCGGAGACCCGCACCCCCTTGACTCTTAGGCAGCACCATCTTCTCCCAAGCGACTAGGTGAAGTTTTGACTTGTCCTCCTCCTCTCCCCAAACAAAATCCCTGTTGATCCGATCAATAGAAGCACAAACTCCCTTAGGCAGCAGCTCTGTATGCATGTGATAAGTAGGTAAAGAGGAAATGATAGACCTGGAAACAGTGAGTCGAGCAGCTAAGGATAATCGTTTGGCCTTCCAAGGGGCTAGTTTCTTCTGAATCCGCAGGAGAAGGCCTTGGTATCTCCCTTTAGTTACTCGACCATGGATCCCGTGAATCCCAAGATACCGCCCAATCTCTGTCTTCAGGGGAATCGCTGTTTTCTCGCTCAAGAGGCGTGCCTTGCTCCTGTCAATGTTAGGCGACACAAACATCAAGGATTTGTCGAAGTTGACTCGTTGCCCAGAACTGGTGCAGAAATCCTCCAAGCACTGCTTGATAATCTTAATATGTCTCGTTTCTGCTTCTGCAAAAAGAAGAAGATCATCTGCAAAAAAGAGATGAGTGAGAGGTGGTCCGTTCTTAGTAAGTCGGACCGGCTTCCATTGACCACTATGAAGAGCCTCATCAATTTTATGGGATAATCTTTCCATGCATAAAACAAAGAGATAGGGCGAAAGAGGGTCTCCCTGACGGACACCGCGAGTCGGGGTGATAGGAGCAGATAGAGAACCGTTCCAAAGCACGCGCATCTTATTTTGCTCCACACAATACATGATGCAGCTGATCCATGAACTGGGGAGCCCGACTTCCTTCAGCGTGTCTCGAAGGAAATCCCACCGCAACCTGTCATAAGCCTTCTCGAGATCAATCTTAAGGATGATGCCTCCCTTCTTTCCTTTCCTCTTCCCCAGAGAGTGAAGAACCTCTTGCACTATAATAACATTATCAGTGGTCTGCCTGCCCGGAATGAAGCTGCTTTGACGCGGGGAAACGAGCTTTCTCATGACCGGTTTCAGTCTGCTAGTAATTGCCTTCGTGATGACCTTGAGATTGACATTATTAAGGGAGATAGGCCGAAGTTGAGTAACAAACTCGGGATGATCAACCTTGGGGATCAGAACAACAGTGGAATCCGAGATCTCAGCCGGCAGAACTCCTGAAGAGAAGAAAGCCAGAGCCATATCGGTCAAAGACTTCCCGACCACACTCCAGGCTTGTTGGTAAAAGGCCGCATGAAAGCCGTCAGGGCCCGGAGCTTGAAAAGGCTTCATCTCAAAAACTGCCTTGTGGATATCCATAATGGTGAAGGGTCTAAGCAGTGAAAGAAGCTCGGCTTGATCAAGACGTGGGAAAGTATTCTTGGGCATCCGGTCCTCGTAAGGAGAATCATCCTGCAGGTAGAGGTTAGTGTAGAAATCAAAAACCATACAAGCTAAGGCCTGGGGGTCCTCTATCCAGTTGCCGGATTGATCTTTCAAGGCCGTAATTTTGTTTCTCCGCCGCTTGATGATTGCCTGCTGGTGAAAGTAACTGGTGTTACGCTCCCCATACTTAACCCAACTCTCCCTAGCTCTTTGATACCAGATCAATTCTTCCTGATCAAGCACCTTCTCCAGCTCCGCCTGAAGCTTGGAGTGAAGTTTGGCCAACCCCGGATGAAAACCCGTTGAAAGTCGCATCTCCACTCCTCGGATTCTATTAAGAAAACGTTTCTTCCTTTGCTGCACATTGCCAAAAACACTCTGGTTCCACTCCTGCAGCACATAGCTCAGCGACTGCAGCGCAGCAGGCGAAGGGGCAGTAGCATCCCAAGAACCTGCAATGGTGTTCAAAAGAGTGTCATGAGTCAGCCAGGCAGCTTCAAATTTAAAAGCACGAGTACTAGGAGAAGAATGCCCCTGGGAAGCAAAAGAGGTAAAAATCGGATTGTGATCTGAGCTGAGGCGGGATAGATGGCGAACGGTAGTGTTGGGAAAGGCAGAGTTCCACGCAAGGTTGCATAGACTCCTGTCAATCCTACTAGCTTTATATGTGCCCACAGTGTCCCCTCTAGTCCAGGTAAATTTGGGGCCAGAGTAAACGAGATCCACAAGATCAGCAAGATTAATCCTCTCGTTGAAGATGCGGCATCTTCGCATAGTCGCCATCGAGGCAGCCCCGGACTTCTCCATCGGGGATCTAATGGCGTTGAAGTCCCCGGTAAGAATCCAAGGAATGTCGATCTCCTTACTTTGAGCAACAATGCTATCCCAAAGGCAATGTTGCCGATTAGGATGAGGAGAAGCATAAACCGCCGTAAGAATCCAGTCAGGCATACTGTCTTGAGAGATACGAATGGAAACGTGCTGAGCATGGACTGAAACAACTTGAGTTTTGAATCTTCTAGCATCCCAGCAGACCCAAATACCTCCCTGAAGATCATCTGCCTCCACCCGAATCACATCGGGGAATCCCAGCCTGTCACAAACCTTATTAGCTTCATTCCCACTGATCTGAGGCTCCAGAAGAACAACAAAATCAGGATTACAGTTCTGAATCGTCAACTTGAGGGCACGAGCAAAAGCTTTACTGCCGGCTCCCCCTACGTTCCAAGCAAGATATTAATGGTAGACAGATTCGACATAGCCATAGAAAAAAGGAGAGAAAAGGAGAAAGCGGGCAATAAGAAAATGGCCGAACAGCCGGTTACTGTGAGGCAGTGGGGTCTAAGGACTGCAGTTCGCCATCCCCGGAGCTCCCATCGTCGGAACCCCCTGGCCTGAGGTCCCTTCACTTTTCCCTGCCGCCTCGGTCCAAGCGCTGATCTCTTGTAGTGTAAGCGTCGCCAACCGAGATCTAGATTTGGTCTTCCTATCTTTCACTGGAGTCCAAACTTGGAGAGCCTTCGAAGGATGGAGCTTCACCGGGGATCCTTTCTTAGTTTGCCGTTTGGAAATCTTCTTGTGTTTTGTTCGCTCCCCCGCCGACATAGAAGTTACCTCCGATCGCCCTTTCATTTTGTCAGCAGAAGCGACGGTGAAGATTTGCATTTTGGTGCCGTTTAATCCAACCAAGGTTTGGACCTCTGTTGAGGCCTCAGCAGTGGCCGCCAGCTCTTTTGGACTGGAGGCCCGTGGTAGAGTCAGACCTGGGTCAGTCCACATCGCCTTTGGGCTTGAAGTCGAAGATGGGAGGCCCGAAGTGGAGGCTTGGTTTGTTTCTACTGCAGGTCGAAATTCCCCTTTCCTGTTAAACTCCTGGCTTGGGCCGGGCCCCAATAAGCTTTGGTTCAGGCCCGTTGAAATATGTTGAACCTCCTTACCTTTCCCGTTCGTTTTCCCCAAAGAAGAGGAATTAAAACCCTCCTCCTTCCCTTTTCCGTTTGCTTTTCCCAGAGAAGCAGATGCGCCTCCTTCTTTCTTGGCTTGATTAACCTTCCTTTCCTGACCCTGTGCCCGATGATTATCCGTAGAAATCGTCACCACGGGTGCGAGCAGGGGAGCTCCGCCCTCCTTAGACTTAGCCCCTCCTTTCCCGTTTTTGCTTATTTGCCCTCCGTATCCCAGATCACCCTCTTGTTTGCCTTGCTTCACGGGATCCCTGGGATTACGCCTGCTTCTTTTGGATACCAACATCCATGGCCCAAAACCCGGGCTAGGTTCTTCTGCAACGGTCCTCTGCTTCGCCGGGCCCTCGCCGCCGGCAGCGACCAAGTTTGTCGTGGTATCCGCCGGTCGAAGTCTCTGGCACACGCCCGTATTATGCCCAATTTTACCGCACTCGAAACATACCTCCGGGAGGTTCTCATACTCCACCCTTTGCCAATGATCATCCAAAAAAATCCGAGGAACTAGGGGCTTGGACATGTCAACCTCAACCGCCAAACGAGCAAACTTCCTCCGTTGTCGATTGAGCGTATGGTAATCAAGCTTAATAGTACGTCCGATGAGATTGCCTATGGTCATGAGAACCTCCCGATGATAAAAATGGACCTTCAAGGCGGGTAGCTGAACCCAGACAATCATCGATTTTGGTAGAGGGTCGAGAACCCCGAAGTTCGGAGTCCACTGCTGAACTGCAAGATAGTGGTCATATATGATCCACGGACCATCCGTCAAAGCTTTGAAGTAATCTTGATCATTGAACAACTGCACCAGGTAGCAAGCCTCGTCGAGATCCATGATTTCCATAGCCCCTGTTGGTCGCCACAGCCCTCGGAGGCGAGAGCACAAGGTTGTGAAATTGATTCGAAGTCCCAGCAGGCGCACCACCAGAGTTTTTTGCCATGGCGCACAGAGCCGTCCTTTGAATCCATCGGAAAGGAGCAGAGCCGGCTCTCCGTTCACGTGCCCGGGGACCAAATCGTGCTCACCAACTGGCGTCCATTTTTGGCCGTCCAACAGCTCGTGATGTCCAGAATTGGCCACCGCTTTTGCGTATGATATAGGTACCGCCTTTGAGACTGTCATGCTCGTAATAGATGTTTCCCCTCCGGGATTCTGTGTCGCATCACCTCCCGTCACATTGTTATCAAGCACCATGGGGGCCAAGCTTGTTACCAAGGCCAGCGCCGGTGGACTTGACGCCAAAGTCGATTCCTGAGAAGTTACAGGGATATCCGGCGGACGGCCGGACGGATCCAGATCAAGCGCAACCGGAATGGATGTCGAGAGAGAATTAGTCATCGAGAGAGAAATTTTGGTTGATGCAATGTTGTTCTTCACTATTTGTTTTGTCGAAGTTAGTGACCCATTTTGGTAGGCATAAGCTCAACTACCTTTCTCGTAATAATTCAGATGATAATTTAATTGACTAAAGATAAGAAGATAGACAAGAGATTCTTCTTTTTAATAGAACGACAGGAGAGATTCATTCGCTACCGATAGAGAAAATTACCCAAATTATATCTTCTTCTCTTCATTCAACTATTTAACAACTATACAACAAATTATATCAAGTTCTATCAATTGAAACCAAATGAAATTAATTAATTAATTAAAAAATAAGCCAACCATAAATTACAGTGGCCTTTCCTCTTCCTCCATCTTGCTTTCTCTTCAATGCTTATTCTTCATTAGGTTCGGTGACATGCAAGGCCATTGGACTTGAGGTACTTTGACTTTTAATTGATTGATTTCAATTTTTTTTTTGCATATATATATAGGCTAGAATCATTATTCCAATCCGAGTCTTCATTTATGTTAAAAAATTAACAATTGTAAAATCATAATGAAGGTCATATCGGAAATTTTAATATTAGAGTATTTTGTGCTAAAATCGTAGTTCAGTCGTGGTTAAATAAGGCTTGACACGTTGCTCCAATCTAAGCCTCGATTTATGTTCTGAAAAAAGAAAAAACTGTAAAACCATATTGAATATCATAACGAAAAAGCTAGCATTAGGGTATTTTGTGCTAAAATCGTAGTTCAACAGTGCTTAAATCAGGCTCGACACATTGCTCCAGCCCGTGCCTCGATTTATGTTCAGGACAACCTATAATGTTAACCATACCTAAGGTTGTACCTGAAAATGAGCATTATAGTATTTTCTGCTGAAGTCATAGCTCAACCGTGGTTAAAATCATGCTTGACACGTTGATACAACCCGATCCTCGATTTATGCTAAAAAAATCAAAAATTGTAAAACCGTACGAAAAAAGTTTGCATTAGGGTATTTTTTGCTAAAATCGTAGTTCAATTGTGGTTAAATCAGGCTTGAACGTTGCTCTAATCCGAGCCTCGAGGTATGTTCAGGAAAAAAAATTGTAAAACCATACCGACAGTCGTATTGGAAAAGTTAACATTGTGGCAATTTTGCTAAAATCATTGTTCAACCATGGTTAAATCATTTCATACAAGTAAAATCACATTCGTCAGAAGTTTTTTATTGGACCGCTGCTAAAGGCGAGCACAACAATTACGGGTTAGTAAATAATACATCTAATCCTATAATCCTATGAGAAGCCGCAATGAAGTGCGGTCTAGAATCTACCTAGTTATGGTTAAAGTATAATTGATTTCCTCTGCCATATATCAAATTCCTTGTTTTCGTTAACTTATTACCGTCTCAATTGTTGAGCTTACATGATTCCTTAATTTCCTCTGCCACTCGATCCGTCGATTTGTAGGTTTCTAATTTTCTTACTTTCGAGTTAGTTGATATCAATAATTTGAGTTGTTAAGAGAAAGTTAATTATGAATTTTATACCATTCTCTTATATGCCGCATAAAACGAAAACCAATTTACGAGCTTGAAGTATGTACATGACCACATCATCTTGTGTTTTAATCGACTTTTAATATTAGAGGTCATGAAAATTCGAATATGTGATCACTTGACCAAACCAATTCCGATACTATATCAAGAACTAATTGATCCAGTTATTGGGAGAAGATTAATTATTCTTCTTGTACTACTCTCTTACCCATATGACTTGAAATGTCTGGAACTTGGATTGATTTTTCTTCCAAAAAATGTGATGGGTGAGAGAAAACAAGGGATGTGATCCATGCTATGCTAACGACGAAGCCCAAATATGGTTAGTCAAATCCACTCATGCTCCCAACAGGTTTACATAACCCCCGGCATGAAATGAAACGTTTTAGGACACTGTCCGTCCATCTAATTAGAAACCCAGCCCTTTAATTTAATGGCGCAATTGGGAGGAAAAAATCTCAGAATACACCAATTATTAAAAAAAATTACCAAAATACAGTACTTATAAAAGTAATTCCCAAAGTACAGCAGTTTCAACATCACTGTCTTTGTCTAAGACAGTGATGTTGATCACCGTTTTGGTCTAAAACGATGATACATCACCGCTTTAGACAAAAGCAGTGATGTTATCACCGCTTTAGACCAAAGCAGTGATGCCATCACCGCTGTCAAGGACGACAGTGATGGCATGACCGTTGATGAGGGAGGCAGTGAAGCCTTCACCGTTGGATCCAACAGCGGTGAAGTGGCGCGGATCGCTGACGTGGACGCGCGCGGGCACTTCACCGCTGAAGACCAAAGCGGTGATAGCCCCGCTTTCCACGTCAGCGATCCGCGCCCCACCCCGCGCCTTCACCGCTGCCGTCCGATGCAGTTATGCGCGGATTGTGGTTTTTCTCCACAATCCGACGCATCAGGAGCCGCCACGTCAGCGATCCGTGACCATCACCGCCTTTGTTGGACGCGGTGATGGCACTGTGTTTGTTTGGGGCGGTGATAACTGGCCAGGTCTTTTCCCAGCCCCAAACACTATAAATACCCATCCCCCCCCCCCCCCCCCCCTCATTCCAAACCACACCACCACTTTATACTTCTTTCTCCCTCCATTTTTCACTCTAGTTTCGTTCTAAGTATGCTCTGTGGTTGCGGCTAAGTCCGATCTTCCGCATCAGAAAGAATTACTAGAGTTTTTGTTTTGTTGTTTTGTCGATACTCTCGCTAGCTTTTCGGCAAAAAATGGACGAAGAGGCTTTGAGAGTACGTAAATTTATTTAATTCTTTTGTGATTTTTTTTTACATGGGTGCTAAAATTTAAATTGATTTGATTTATATTTTTTTATAGATGGGTGCTGAGATATACGACCCTAGATTGTATATCGATCCTGGCCCAAGGGATCGAAGGTATTTAACCGGGCAAGATCAACATCACTCTCGTTCAATTTGGAACAATAATCCGGTAGACACACTAAAATTATTTCAATAGTTTTAAAGTTTTTATTTTGCTTTCTAAGTTTTTATTTTGCTTTCTATTGACTGACAATATTGTGTTTTTTGTTTTGTAGGAATCACTTATTCCCATCAGTCATCGAGGTACATGTCGATTGCCCCGTTGGCATCCTCGACTGCATCCCTATCTAGAGAGGGCGGGATTGCACAATTTGAGGCACTTTATGAGGCTTGATATTGACAAGGCACGAAAACCGTCCCAGGGTTGGACTCCTCCATTGCGGACATTAGTCTGGGGAGTAAAGCATACGAGTCATCCCAATCACCGTAGACATCAGCCATGGCCTTCTGCTTCCCATGCCACGCCTTCTTATACCTTATGGTGTAGGAGTGTCGATCCTTCACCTCCGCCATGATAGCTTTTATCTTGATATCTGGTTGTGCCTCGATAAGGTGCTTAATGGTTCTTGCCACTTTTTTTGCTTTCAGTTGCCGGTGATCCTGTGAAAGTATGGTTGAGGAGCAACTGTGGTTGTTCTCTACTGTCCGCATGACCCATACCCCCTTTCTCTTCATATATGCAGCACGAAGTTGCCACATACAACCCTCTCCAGCATTCTTACAAATGACATGCAGTTGTCCCTTGTCAGAATATTTTACCTTCCATTCGAAATTACGCCGCATGGCTTCTTCGCTAAAAGCGTCTTGCACATCGGCTTTCGAAGTGAACGCCATACCCACTTCCAAATTAGCAGTCGGATTATACACAGGCATGGGCCGAAAGTCAGGGGCATCGTTCTGACCATATAAAAATTGATCAGGAACCTCTGTGTAGTAAGGCGTTGGTGCCTGTCGGAACGCCACCTCACTGTCATCGATATCGTCGTTATCGTCCGTATCTTCCTCCTCACTGACTGATCTCAAATCTTCCTCACTTTCATCGTCACTGGAGGCGAATGGATAGCTCGGCGAAGGATGGTCATCGTTAGCAGCATAACCAGCATCGCCTTCTTGGTCATGCGAAGTACGCCCAGTTCGAAGGGTGTTTTCAATGTCACCCCACTCTGGACCCCAAGCAGGCCATTGATCACCGTCGGGCTGAACGATATCGACGGCAGTCTCACCACCATGTGGCAGGTATTCTTCCCACCCAACACCTCCTTCAGAACTACCTCCTCCGTAGTTGCTTGAAGTACCTCCCCAACCATACCCTCCGGCAGAAGAACCTGCTCCGTAGTTACTTGAACTACCACCCCAGCCATACCCTCCTGCAAAACCATCATCATAAGAAAACTGGTGAGAATGAGTTTCACCGACCGGCTCGGTCTCGACATACACCTCTGCAAGCCGCACCCCGTTCTCAGATATGAACTATGTCATCATGTTCGCGTCGTCATCATCATTTATGTCAACTTTTTCGTACATGACTCCGTCAGCACTCATGTTGGGATACCGGTAAGTAATTTGACGAACTCTCATTTGCCCGCCCGTACAAGTCCTTTCTGCACACTTGTCATGGAGTTCTTGCCACGAGAATCTCGACTCAATTGTAAGCATACTGGATTCGCCATCTTCATAGTCGATCCCAATGTTCGAGTTTGTCACCCGACCATTCCAATAAATAATAAGCCGAAACTTCTTAAATTTACCCATGTCTGCAATTTATAATAATTAAGTATAGTATATAATTAGTACATTATGGATACAAAAACAATATCATCCAAAGCGATAATAAAATGCAACTAATTGATCTATTATGAGAAAACTAAACAAATTCATCTAAATTCATAACTAGCTAACTAACATCTATCATATCATAATTAAACTAAATAATATCATAACATATTTTCCAATAACCGCAATTCACTAAATACAGACAGTATAATTACTAACTTATAACATACTCATAATTACTAACACATCAACATGTAAAAAATACATACTTATAACATACTCAATCCCGATCTATCATGAGAAAACTAAACAAATTAATCTAAATTCAGTACTAACTAACTAACATATATCATATCATAATTAATCTAAATATATAATTCTAACATACCTAATTCTAGCACATAATCAAAATGTAAACAATACATAATTCTAACATACCGAATCCCGACGAGTTTCTTGAGCAGTAAACTACGGAGGAACCAGCTGCGAAAACGACTTAACAAAACGATAATTTTTGTACTAATTTGCTGTTTGGCAGCAGGAGGGAAGAGGGCGTGGGTTTTTATAGGAAAAATTGAGAGCTAATCACCGCTTTGGACCAAGGCGGTGAACACATCATCGCCTTAGTCAACAGCGGTGATAGCTAGGTAGCTGTTACCTACTTCTCCACCTACCAGGGCTATGTAAAACGTGGGGGCAATCACTGTTGTGGACAGCAGCGGTGATGCCTTCACTGTTGATGTCAAAAGCGGGGATACGTTCCCCGCCTTTGTCAAAAGCGGGGATACTATCTCCGCCTTGGACAAAAGCGGGAAACGTATCACCGCTTTTGTCCACAGCGATGATGCATTCCCCGCTTTCGTCCAAGGCGGTGATGCGTTCCCCGCTGCTTCACTGTTTTGGACAAAGGCGGTGATCAACATCACTGTCTTTGTCTAAGACAGTGATATTGAAACTGCTGTATTTTGGGAATTACTTTTATAAGTACTGTATTTAGGGAATTTTGTTTAATAACTCGCGTATTCTGGGATTTTTTCCCGGGACGCTTCACCAAATACAGTAAGAAGAAACATACGCTTTAATTCCAGAGGGAACATTGCACTTGCATTGTCGGCAAATATTATTTTGTTTTTACCTCTGTTTTAATAATCGAACTGCACGTTGAACTCTTGGAAAATCATTGCTTAACCGTTCATTATTAATTATATAGAAAACATGCAAGTATAATATACTAATTTTAAAATAAATTTTTCATCAAACATAAATAATTTCAAATACATATCGTCCTTCGATGACCACTATATCTACCAACTCATTCCAACCGTCTCACAATAAAATCATAACTTTTGTTGTGGGACAATCCAAGTACCACATCGATAAAACAAGGGAAGGAACACTTGTATATTAGAGTCCACCTAGCCCAATAAGTACGAGGCCTTATGGGGAGGACACCCAAAAGTAAATCTGTGCGGGCTTGGCCTAAAGCGGACAAATCGTACTAATGGAGCAGCCCGATTTGACAAGTGGTATGTATCAGAGACTGGTTCGGTGGATTCGGGGCGGTGGACGTAAGTTCGGTGGACCCTCGTTCGGTGACCTCAGGATGTGAGATCTGCGTCTAGTTTGGTGGGATCTAGGAGAGGTCCATGTTTGTTTGGCGGATCAAAGAGAGTTCCGCGTCTGGAAAAATCCTTGTACTGAGAAGCCCATCGATACAAGGTGTCTGGCGGATCAAGATAATCGCTGAGGTGAGGACACGATGTTCATGGTCCTTGGCTTGATGGGAGGATTGTTGTGGGACAATCCAAGTACCACATCGATAATACAAGGGAAGGAACCTTGTATATTAGAGTCCACCTAGCCCAATTAGTACGAGGTCTCTTGGGGAGGACACCAAGAGTAAAATCGTGCGAGCTTGGCCCAAAGTAGACAATATCGTACTAATTGAGCAACCCCAGTTATGACAAGTGGTCTCAGAGCCTAGTTCGGCGGATCCGGGACGGTTGACGTCAGTTTGGTGGGACCCTCATTCGGTGCCCTCGAGATTTGAGATATGCATTTGTGTGGCGGGTCAAAGGTGACTCGCTTCTGTTTGGTGACCTCAAGATGTGAGATCTGCGTCTAGTGTGGCGGGTCAAAGGTGACCTCAGGATGTGAGATCTGCGTCAGTTTGGTGGGACCCTCATTCGGTGCCCTCGAGATTTGAGATATGCATTTGTGTGGCGGGTCAAAGGTGACTCGCTTCTGTTTGGTGGATCCAAGAGAGATCCACGTTTGGGCTTGACGGATCAAAGAGAGTTCCGCGTCTTGGAAAATCCTTGTACCGAGAACCCCATAGATACAAGGTGTCTGGCGGATCAAGATAATCGTTGAGATGAGGACACGATGTTCATGGTCCTTGGCTTGAGGGGAGGATTATTGTGGGAGAATCCAAGTACCACATCGATAATACAAGGGAAGGAATCCTTGTATATTAGAGTCCACCTAGCCCAATTGGTACGAGACCTTTTGGTGAGGACACCCAAAAGTAAATCCGTGCGGGCTTGGTTTAAAGCGGACAATATCGTACTAATGGAGCATCCCGATTTGACCACTTTTATAGTTTAAGTAAGAAATTAGGTTGGCATTCGGTAGTGGACCACGTAAAGCCAACAAGAAGGTTGAGAAATGAAAATGAGGAAGCATCAATAAAAATAGTAATTTAGGTTGGATGATCATATTAAAGTATTCTTGTGTAGTTGAAATAGTGAACTAGTCAAACCGGAGTGATTCATCCGGTTTTATGTTGAACCGTAAATTTTTTTTGTTCCCCTTCAGCTAAAACTTCTCTCTCTTCTTCCTCTTGCTTTGTCCTCTCTCTAGCGTGCACAGGGTTTTCCTTCTGCTTGTTGTTTGTTGTTTCCCAAATCATATCTGCATGAAGAGCCTCCTCCACAAGTGAGATGATTTGTCCTCCATTTTTGTTCCAACTCTAGCGATGAAGATGGTTCAACTGTCTCTTTTGTTAAAAGAGTCTTTTCCATAGTTATTATGATTATCAGATGTCTTGTTTGCCCCAAGCTAACTGTTTGTGCATAGAACAGATTCAGCTACTGCAACAAACTCTGACTATCAGTTGGGAGGGAGTTATTACTACTCAGAGTTGAAAGGAATAAATACACCAAGTGCATATATCAGTCTTTTCAAGCCACCATTACTAAGGAAAGAAGGGTGGTTGGATCCCCTCAAACCTGTATGAGTAGCCAAGGTCTGTAAGGACATAAGGTTGGCCATAAAACCTAGTCCAATGAAGCCAACAACCGTGTTAAATGAAGCTCGGAAACAAGCTACAACTGCCGGGGGAAAACTCCATTACACACAACCCTCCTTTCTGCACTGAGCCAACTGATATCCCCTTTCTTCTTGAGCTAACCAACCCTGGAAAAATACCACAAACAACATGCATATAAACGATTTGATCAATCAAGATGGGGAATGGGATTTTGAAATGGTTCCTGATGAAGAGAGGCTGACCAATCGTTTCTCTCTGGTTGTCAAGGTACTCTCAGAGCAC